ACAACGACGACGGGTTGCCGTTTTGGGGGTGTTTCGGGAAATCCGTGCGGAACGAGCAATCACGCGCTCCCACCAGACGTTCCAATAGCCTGACGGCCTTGCGAGAGCGCGGCAGCTCGATCGTGGTACAGGGATTCGACTCGACTTCTTTCGAGTCAAGTTGAGACGAATCAATCGGTCCCTCGCTAACGCGACCCAATGGCCTCGCGTTACTATCCGCGCTCACTTGACGTGCGAGAGGATTAAAGTCACAAGTTCTTCAGGATGAAAGAACACTGGGATGGGTTGTTCTCTGTTTTCTAAGCTTCGGAGGACTTACTCTTTTATGGATCGTTGGTAGATAACCAGACCGTATCGAATAGGGAGAGAATTTCTTGAAAGGAAAGCTTGCGATCGATCTTCCTACCGAGGTCACCGGTCTCTCGGAGCAATTGGTTGATTCTGCCTGAACGTTCGCGTTGTTGCACAGGGTCAGTTACCTTTTAGAGTTAGCACTTTGCACCTTGGGCTGATATCGCTGGTTTGCATGCACCAGATTACTCGAATCGCGTGACTCTTTTCTTTTTAATAGTAGAACGAGCGGGATCGATTAGTCGGTCAACGTGGCAATTAAAAGAAAATGGCGAATAAAGTATTCGAATGAATTTTGATGGTCGTTTAGATTTCGATACGTTTATCACGAAGGATGAGCCCCAACTGACCGGTTACTGGAGGATATATACGTATTGATTTGCCGAGGTTCCCCTTTTCCCCGGCGACCCCTACTCGTTCCCACGGGCTCAGCCGGAAGACGCTTGCGCGAACTCCGGTGGCTAAGTCGGTCGACTGAAAACGGGTATGTATATCTGACACCGATGAACTGTCGTTGGATTGTGCATTACAAGCGACAATAGTCAGAGAGGAATAACACGAAAGAGTCGAAATAAAAGCGCACAAGTTTTGATGGCTTAAACGAACGAACTATATGACGCTTTGATGCACCAGGGGAGTATCTGCCAGATATAGATGCACTTCGTCCTATGAAACGAATCTACTTTCACAATGCTTGCTCTTTGATTTTTCGATGTCCTGAAAAATCAATGTCCATATTCATTCGAGTATCTCGATGATTTAAGTTTCTTTGCAGCTGAAAAAACTGATAGCAGCCGAATACAAAAATATTCTTCCCATAAAAATTTTCTAACGCTTTAATTCTATTTTAATCGTGTCTGGTTACGTATTTCGCAGTAGCGATATAACGTTGTATTGATTAGGAATATACTCGATAAGTGTCCGACCGGGAACGAAGTGAATCTACTTGTGTCCGACCGTAATGGCTTTTACTACTGGTAACGGAGCAGGTGATTGTTACCAACAGCAAGAGATGGAAGCACTAGACTTTATTTCGATAATTTGTCCGATATCGAAGAAACGTAAGCTATAGACTGAACCGATCGAACTCGTACGTATTCCGAACAACAATGAATTCGGGACGGATCTTAAATCGCGAGAACGAAATCGCGCATTTATGCCAATTTGGTTTCATCCTCGTTAAAGAAGACGACTTTAACAGAAATAAAACTGCATTGGGATATAATATTATTATAGAAATATTCGTATTGTTATAGCTAAACGGAAGTTTCTTTGACCTTTTCTCGATCAAATGCCTACATGCGAGCTACTGGTAAATAAGTATCGATATTTCTGTCGTATTCGTATGACAAAGGTTATTCGAAATGCGTGGAATTATCCCAAGAAAAATTCGGTCGTTGCGTTGCGAAGGAGCGGGTCACCGTTCTTGAATAATGGAAAGGAACTTCTCGTTTGAGATCATTCCGATAGCAAGGTGCCGGGATCCCGACTCACTCCTCTCGTAAATAATCTATGGAGGGAACTGTAATACTGTCGAGAACAGCATCGGTATAAGTTTTTCTATTTATCGAGTTTCGCGAACATGTACAACCACCGATTCCGTATCTTCCTCTTTGTCAGCGAGACGCATTCGTGCGTGGCTGTTTGCATTTTTCGCGCTGCCGACGACATCCTCCGAGAAGAATATCGTCTATAGTCTCATATTGAAAACAGTCTTGCGATTCGTTACCGATCCAACAATCTCATTACAGAGGAAACTGGGATCGAACGCTGAACAGATTCAATTTGTATAGCAAGCCAATGAGATGTATGGAAAATAAGGAACGAACAAGTAAAGTCTTGGAATCCAATTGCCGTCACGTTTCAGTGATCGCGTACGTACGATTCTCTCTACGTGTGCTCGTAAGCGGATTAAAATTGAACGAAAGTCGAAAGGCTCCCTTAATGAAGCTTTAACAGAAACCGCTCGAGGGTATGAGGCTCTGATTGGATATTACGTGAAATATGGATTATCAATCTTAGCCGCTTCCTACAACGAAGAAACATACGTTCGATCGATTCAGGATGTCAGATTAACGTTTTAAGAGTCGTAACCCGATCTAATTTATATGTATAGCATGTAAATTTAATTTCATCTAACACCGTACATTTAACACGCGGTCAGATTCGATAATCGACCAACAATGACGTTGTAGTTTCATATTTGCATCATATTGTCGTAACCATAACGCCTATTGTTTACGGGCGGACTAACAAATCGGTTTAACGAGCACAAACAGGGTAGTTAGGAGAACAAAGGCGATTTAGGCGCGAATACTTGAACGCGTACCGTCTATTCTCAATCATTAATCTTCCTTAGGCTATATCCCTCGTGCGTGTATCTGAATGAATAGATTCGATCGGATTCCAGAGTCAAGGAAAGCAGAGAATCCTGTGTTGCGTTTATTCTTAGTGACGCGCGTCGAGGACGAATCGAAGATTGGAAAACTCGAGCACAATGGAAATCGAGAAGATACGCGAGAAGCAAATGGAAAGGGGATGGAAAATAAAAGGGTGGAAAAGAAACTAGGTTTGTTAAGTAGATTTAAGAATCGCGTCGCTGTTGCACAGAGGTGAGTGAGACGCTTTAAGCTTGAATAGAACTCGGAACTGTGGTGAAGACAAGGGCCATTATGTCGGCACGTAAAGCGACGTCAGCCAAAGCTCGAGTGTCCGTTCTTTCTTGTAACTCCAGGTAGCTTTCATTCTCTTTCCTTTTCTTTTATGACATCGGGCTAACCATACGGTAGGACTGTCATCCAGTCGTGCCCTTCGTTCTGTTCTTCACCTATTTTCCTTTTTTTCTTTTTCAGACGCGTCGGTCTTAACGTTTGGTAGGTCATCGGATCGTTTGTCTCGGAGAACTCAGCAACTCCGCAAACTTTCCTCGAGACTTTGAAATCTATCCTCCCCTTAAAGAACGTAAATTTTCCGTAATTAAATTTGTCAGCCATAATTGTTCGTAACTTAGTAGAAGAAGCCAATGTTTTCCACTCTCTCAATTTTTCGTTCAATCGCCGGCAAGTTGGTTAAATGTAAGGCTCTCGGAACTATAATAAATTGTTCGAGTCATTCCTTAAAATAAAGTAAGGTCTAATTAAATCCACCAAACTCACTTACGGTACAACTTGTCTCAATTTTCTTCTCCCGTCAAACTTTTTTTTTCTTGCTCATGGAGTTCGCTGACGAAATGCGAAGATCGATCGAATCCATTAAAAACTTTCTAATGTGACTTGTGTAAGCGATGGATAGCAGTTTGAAATCTTGCAGAACTTAATATGAAAACAAAGTTGTGAAAAGGCACGTATCTGTAATCAGATCGACAAATTAGCGAATATGGATCATAGATCACTCTGTTGTGGCATTAAATTTCTGCTTTAGTTTTCCTTCCCTTAATCACATTTCTTCTCTCGTGATCCCGGCAGTGTATGATTAAACTTAAAATTTCTATCGATATCTATCGGTGCAGATTAACTCGCAAATGGAATAAATTAAAGCGATCGTTCAATTTCTGAATCTGTATTGTCCGAAGAGTTGAACGAAAAAGAGAACAAAACAAATACATTTTCCGAGGATGGTCTTCGTTATCAGAGATC